AGGGGAAGGTGTCCTCCTGGAGCATCTTGAGCGAAAACCGTGAATTAGTGGTGGTTAGCAGGTTTGCGTCTGCCACTTTGCATACCTAAAGTCACTTTTTTTTTTAGGTCTGCGACTTTTACTTTACATAACTAATGTAACAAGTTATTTTTTTAATAAGTAAGTGGATTTTAAAAGCAAAAATAAGATCACACTCCATTTAAAATTGCATTCTTGACGACTCTTTCCCCTCTTCAGTCTCAGGCCATTTGCACATCTCCAGTGCCTTTTTAATTTGCACAAAGTGTATATAAAACACACCAGCTAATTTTGTCTATTTACTATTTTTCTTTTCCAGCTACACTGTAAGTAACTTAGAACAGTCCCTGGCACTTTCTGTGCTGTCACTTATTACAGGTTCTTTTGTAATTTTTATAGATAGATAATTTAAGTGGAATTAGATATTTTTCTTGGAAAATAGGAATTGTGGAGTATTTAAATATTCCGTATACTTAAAGCTTAAAAAAAATGTGCTGCATGTCTGTGGCCCACACCTGTAATCCTGGCTACTCAGGAGACTGAGATCTGGCGATCCCTGTTTGAAGCCAGTGCACACAGGAAAGTCATAAAACTCTATTTCTAATTAACCACCAAAAAGTTGTAAGTGGCTCAAGTTGTAGAGTGCCAGCTTTGAGTTAAAACTAAGGGAAAATGGCTAGGCCCGGATTTCAAGCCTCAGTACTAGCACACACATCAAAAGTAAAACAGAGTATTAAGATCATTACCCATAATGGAATTATTGTTAAAAGAATGTTACCTTTATTTAACGTCAGTAAAAGAATTGTTTTTGTGTGCTGGGAATTGTGAACCTAGGGCTTCACACATACTAAACTCAGGTTCTATTACTGAGTGACACCTACAGCCCAGGAAAGAACCTTGCTGAATTGTGACACTTTCCAGAATCTGACATCTTCATGACTGTAATGGTCATAGACATGAAAATGAAGCTACCTGCTTGCTTTATACTGAGTTTTCAGATGTATTGAAAGCATACAGTTTCTGAAATTAGCAGTTTGAAATACCTCATATAATATAGAAAGTTAAATTCTATGTCACAAGTAATTTACATGTACATATATATGTGCACATATGCATGTATATATAACTGTGTTTTCAATTATCCTGCAGTTTGAACTCAGGGCGCTAGCATTTGATCTGTGTCTTCAGTCTAGAGTATTCCTGGTCTTGATGTTTTCCCTCAGAGAAAACTCTTTTGGGTGAGGAGGGTAGTACTGAGGTTTAAACTCAGGTTTAAACTCAGGACTTCATAAACTAGTACTAAGCAGGTGCTCTTGCACTTCAGCCAAGACCCCACATCTCTGTTAAATTTTTTGTGTGTGCCAGAACTGGGGCATGAATTCAGGCCCTTGTGCTGTTGTTTGACTCTTTTTCAAGGTTGGAGCTCTACCACTTGAGCCACAACTCCACTGCTAATATTTTTAAATGGCAGTCGGCAGACGATCATCATTGTAGAGTTGAGAGAGACATGAGAACTTAGTCCTTTTACAGATTGAAAAACTAAATTGTGATAAAGTGGTATTATACTCAACCATATGCTAGGAGAGGAGTACTGTCTTTTGGGGTAGTTTTTGTGCTGTTACTGTGGCTTGAACTCATGGCTTGGGCTTTGTCGCTTAGCTTTTTTTACTCAACACCAGCACTCTACCACCTGAGCCATAGTTGTACTTGTGGCTAGTTAATTGGACATGAGTCTCGTGGACTTTCTGGCCTAGTCAGGCTTTGAACTGAGATCCTTGGATCTTAACCTTATGAGTAGCTAGTACAGGTTTGAGCCACTGGCACCTGGCTGCTAATGTGCTTTTTTAAAGTACAAATTTCTGGCTTTGCTGCTGAACAATGGCAAATAAGAGTTGAATAAACAATGCTAAATTTTATGATACTATATCAGAAAAATGAATGGTTCATATTTATTTAAAAATTGTGGCCACTTTCTAGGCCCTAGAAATTAGTAAGGAATAGCCTCTTATCCTTAAGAAAGAAAGTAAAGTTAATTGTTATTTAATAGGACCTCAGATCTGAAGGTCTGAGGATTGAATTGTGGTATTTGTGAATTTAGATGAAGAAAAAAAACTAGCTCTAACCTCCCAACTGAAAAATTTATTTTCATTACTTATGAATGAGAGCAACACATCATGGGGATACTTATGACTTATCATTGTAGAAACTTTGTTATTTTTATGTTTATATTAAACAGGTATCTATAAATAGTGTTTGCTCTTACTTCAGTGGGCTATTGGACTCAACACTAGAACTTGTTATTTAATACTTTAATAAATATAATCTCTTAATATACCACAGTTTTTAAGAACATTTGAGGCTAGGAATGTGGCTTAGTGGTAGCATGCTTGCCTAGCATGCATGAAGTCCTGGGTTTGATTCCACAGAATCACATAAGCAGAAAAAGCTGGAAGTGGTACTGTAGCTCAAGTGGTAGAGTGCTAGCCTTGAGCAAAAGAAGCTCAGGGACAGCGCCTGGGCTCTGAGTTCAAGCCCCAGGACTGGCCAAAAAATAAGAATATTTTATAACTGTTCAAGTACACTTGTTTTTCTTTTTACTTTTTTTGTTACATTTAAAGACATTAGTCAGAGAGGGATAGACTTAGACTTCAGTGGGTTTCCTTGTTCATCAAAAAGACTAGGAAGCCAGGTGCCAGTGGCTCACACATGTAATCCTAGTTAGTCAGGAGCCTAAGGATTATGGTTTTCCCAGGTAGCAAAGCCCATGATATTCTTATTTCCAAATAACTACCAAAGAGCCAGAAGTGGAGCCCTGGCTCAAAGTGGTAGAGAACTAGCCTTGAGCACAAAAGCTCAAGGACAGCACTCAGACCCTGAATTCAAGCCCCAGTACCAGCATAAAAAAATCTGAACATTCTAAGACATAATGATGCTCTGCCTGTCTGGTAATAGAACTAATTGGGGGAGAGGTGCACTCTGGAAGTCCATGTCAAAGAATAGATAAATGTTGGGGGAGGGATATGGAGAACTACAAGGTGAGTATATTAAGTTGTATGACAAAATTATCCCCAAAGGATTGGAGTGTGGCTTCAGTAGTAGCATGCAAGTTGAGCAAAAGCTGAAGGCCCTGAGTTCAAACCCTACAATCTCCAAAACGGAAAAAAAAAATACATACATACATATATAAACTTAAAATTTGCATTTTATCTCTTTAGATTTCATCGTTTCTTAGATGTCAACAGCCACAAAATAGAAAAGACCATAGAAGGGTAAGTCAGTGCTATGTGTGTGTATGTACGTATTCAGAAATATGTTTCCTTAAGGATTTTTAGCTGATTTTTTTATATTTTAGAATTTATGAAAAATTCATCATTCATTCTGATCTCAACAAAGCTGCTAGTTGGAAAAGATTAACTGAGGAATTTCTAAATGCATCCCTTCCCAGCGTAGAGGAAATAAAGGTAGGTCTTCAGTTATGAGTCCATTGTGTATTTGACTCTCTTCACCATAATCAACTTTTTCTGTTAATATTTAAGCAATTATTCTACTTTAGTATTGTCCACTGGCCACATGAGGAATTGGAAATTGGCCTAAGTGTTATCAAATAGTATGCCTCAGATTGGTTATGAGTAAAATAACCTCCTCTTGTTAAATCATCTCTCCTCATATCTACTTTGGTTTTGGAGCTGCTCAGCATTTGGCACAAATAGTAACATTGTCTGTGAGTATCCTAAAACTCTCAGATGGCTTTCTCAGAACTTGGCAACAACTTCGCATACTTTTTTTTTGTGGGGGGGGGTCCGGTCTTGGGGCCTGAACTCTGGGCCTGGGCACTGTCCCTCAGCTCTTCAGCTCAAGGCAAGCGCTCTACCACTTGAGCCACAGTGCCACTTCCGGCTTTTTTTCTTTTTGTTTATGTGGTGCTAAGGAACTGAACCCAGGGCCTCATGCATGCAAGGCAAGCCCTCTACCACTGAGCCACCTTCCCAGCCCCTTCTCATACTTTTTTACTGAGTGCCAGGTTTATGTATCAAGGAGCTATGTTACCACTTGTAGGCCCAGTCATTTGCTAGAAGGATTCATAAAGTAGATGTGCTTACCGATATAGTAAGAATAAATTAAAAATCAGCAAAGGAAAAGTTACATAGAACAGAATTTATGCATAAGCTTCAGATGCCCCTTCCCTGAGGAGTCAGGTAGGGATGCACCTAATTCTTTCACTAGCAGCATTTGACAACATGCGAAGTTTTGCTACCCAGTACAGTGGACCTAAGTTTTGGTGTCCAGAATTTTTATTGAAGGTCAATCATAAGCTGGCAGTGTTGCTGCCATTTGGCTGAGCTTGTCTCCTCAATCTCGAGCCCTGAAGGTCAAGCGAATGCTTCAAGCACATGAAAACAGACATTCATTCTAAGTCACACTGTTAATATAAACCGTCTGATCAAACTAATACAGCAGGGTTCAGGCCTCTGGCAAACAAACACACCCTTCTCAGCAAGATATTCCAAGGGTCTAAGTTATCTCCCAGGAGTCTGGCAGAATATTTAAAGGTTTGGGATATTTGGAGTTTTAACAACCCAGATCTGCCCAGTTAACTTTTTGCTGCATTACTATTTTTTTAAAAAAAATTAGCACACATTAGTTGTACAAGGTGGGGGGAGGATTATCATCTGACATTTCCTCACATATATTTCAACCAGTCATACCCTCTCATTTCTCCTTTACCTCCTACCCCTTTCTAAGCAATTTCAACAGATTTCTTTGTTCTACTTTCATATATATAAACTACTTCTGTCTTTTTGTTTGTTTGTTTTGGTTGTTTTGGTCGCTCGTGGGGCTTGGGTGCTGTCCCTGCACTCTTCAGCTCAAGGCAAGCGCTCTACTGCTTGAGCCACAGCTCCACTTCTGGTTTTCTAGTGGCTTATTGGAGATCAGAGTCTCACGGACTTTCCTGCCTGGGCTGGTTTTGAACCGTGATCCTCAGATCTCAGCCTCCCGAGTAGCTAGGATTACAGGTGTGAGCCACCGGTGCCTAGCTGTCTTTTTTTTTTTTAATTGTATTTAATGTATATATTCATTACTGGAATCTGAATCTTTCATTCATACATCAATAACATGCATGGATCATATCCAAACATCAGTCCTCCACGCTTAGCCCTTGACCCTTGCTCTGGTAATCACTTATGATCTGTTCTTACTTGTCATCTACTTTTCCCATGAGTATACTTAGTGTATTAATTATAGTTATTTTAATACCAAATCTGATCATTTTAACATCTCTGCCATGTCTGAGTCTGATTCAGGTCTGTTCTCAGCCTCTTCTTACATGTAGCACCTGGTAACTGGCATCCAGTGTTGGCTGAGTCTCCTAAACTTATGCCTTCAGGCTATTTGGCTTCAATAACTGCAGCTTTTCCAAAGGAAATCTCGTGTTCTTCATGATCATATTGTTTACACACTGTCTAGGTGAAGTAGTATAGTATAGTTATATAGATGTGAATCACACACAACTCTCTTAAACAACTCAGCTCAAACATTTTAAGAGCTCAAACACCAGGAGCGAGCTGAGGCCCACTTGGTAACTAAACTGTTGTTGGGAATATGCCTGGCTTCAGAATCTCAGCCTTTTCAAGTTAATTCTTCACAGCTGGTCTTGCAGTTCAGAAAACAACTTCGTAAATAAGTAAAGACTGGCAGAAATTTGAACAAAGGGATAATACACACTTGGTCATAAGAAGGCCACAGATTCAAAGATATTACTTTTCATAAATAGGAGAGATGTGTGAGAATCACTATAAATTAAAACTAAAAAGTATTCAGACTTGTTGAAAGCCTTAGGAATAGCATAAAATGGTTTTCGTTAAAGGATGACCAGCACTTTTAAGGTAAAGAAAGATTCCTACCCTTCCATGAGATAAATGCAAATAAAGCAATATTGCTATTAAAATATTCACTTATCTAGTTAGTAACAGGTACAGTAAGCAGGTAACTTTATATATTCTTTGCAACTCTATAATGCAATATTTGTACTAAATCAAATACATTTAATCTCATAAAGGGAATTTTGGCATCTGTTAAAATTCCAAGTGCAGACCGTTAGCTAGGCATTTCACTTTTTAGGAATTTACCATGCAGATAAACTCATAGTTGTCAAGTGACATAAATTGGTGATAGCAAAGATTGGAAAAAGCCTAAATATTATAATAGGAGACTGGATAAACAAAATACAGTAGTATATCTATATCAAACTGTTGGACATATTTAATCTTCATGATAAATATTGCCACAGGAGAATAATCCATTTTTAGCATGGTGTCTTATTTCAAAGACATACATTATAGTTGCTCTTAGGAATAAAACTGTGATCTCCTCCTCCGGTCTTATATTTGTTAGAAATACAGAACTCAGGGCTAAAGGCATGGCTCATGTGATATAGCACCTGCTTAGGAAGTACAAAGCCATGAGCTCAAACTGCAGTATTAAAAAAAGAAATGAGGAATGTAAGCTTCATGTAGATTTGTAGTTCGTTGCATGTAAGCATTCAAGCTGAGAAGTGTTTAAAGATAGGATTTATTTTGGTATAATTTTATTTTCTTAGACCAGGAAACAAAATGAGGAATGGAAATGTTATGGGGTTGTCTTTACTGAGTGTAGTTTGGGGAGCCCTTACCTTATCTTGGTAATTCATGTTTTTTACTTTTTTTTTTTTTTAAAGACAGAAACACATTACTCCATACTATCGCTCCTCCTGTGTCTGTCTGATTCTCCTTCAAACAGCAATTATGTGGAAACACCAAAAGAAAAAGAAGTTGGTATGTTACTAGATAGTTTAATGGATAAGAAATGACAAATTGAAACTGGGTGCTAGCAGCTCACAACTGTAATCCTAGCTCAGGAGACTGAGATCTGAAGATCACAGTTCGAAACTGGTTCTGTCAGGAAATACCTCTAATTATCAAAAGAAGCTAGAAAATGTAGCTATGGCTCAAGTGGTAGAGTCCCAGCCTTGAGCAAAAAAAGCTTAGAGACAGCACTTAGGTCTTGAACTCCAAGCTCAAAACAAACAAATTTGCCTTTATTGCCTTATCTCATAACTACTAGACATTGAGATTTTTATTCAAACTTCTAAGAATCCATGAAACTGAATTATATCTATTGCTTTGAGTGCAGTGACAAAATTTTACCTGAAATGAAAGTTTTGACTTTGTAAATTAAACTGCCTTCGATAATTAAAGACAAAATCCAATTTGAGCCAGGAGCTGGTGTCTCATACGTGTAATCGTAGGTACTCAGGAGACCACCTGATGAGGATGAGGGTCAAATCCACCCTGAGCACACAAATCAGAGACACTCTTAGGTCTAATTAACCAACAAAGAGCCAGCAGTAGAGATATGGCACAGGCAGATTGCCTTGAACGAAAAAGCTAAGGGAGAGTGCCTAGGCTCTTAGTTCAAGCCGCTGTACTGGCACCAAAAAAAAAAAGGTAACTCAGTTTAAGTCAATTAAAATGTAAGATGTTTAGAATTCTAATTCATTAAGTGTTTCCATACTTTTGAAATTTTACTTTAAGTGTATTTTATTTTGACTTTTTTGTTACTATTTTTTCCTATAGTTTTTGTGTGTTTTTCAGCTATTTATAATGAAGCTGATTACGTTTCTTCTTTTACATTTTAGAAAAGAAAGATGATTTTGACTGGGGAAAATACTTGATGGATGGGGAAGAAGTTGACCTCGGTCCAAATGTGGACACACCAGTATGTAGTAGTGATTTCTCTACTGAAAATACACATTCATGCACAGATGATAATAGATCATTTTCATGGGTCCTTCTACTTTAGGTAATTTAGCTAAAACAGGAATAAGCTAGAGTAGTTGCTAATCTAGAGTAACTTATTATTACGGAAGTGTCATTAGTTCTAGGAAGTTAAGCCCGGCTGAGTGAACACAAGTAACTAACCCGCCGGGCGCTGGTGGCTCACGCCTGTAATCCTAGCTACTCAGGAGGCTGAGATCTGAGGATCGCGGTTCAAAGCCAGCCCGGGCAGGAGAGACCGTGAAACTCCTATCTCCAATAAACCACCAGAAAACAGGAAGTGGCGCTGTAGCTCAAGTGGTAGAGCGCTCGCCTTGAGCTGAAGAACTGAGGGACAGCGCCCAGGCCCAGACAAGCCCCACGACCGACAAAAAAAAAAACAAAAACTACTAACCCTTAAGAGGAGCAGTGACTTGAAATTTTTGCCACCCGCAAAAAACTCTCCCCTACTTCAAGAGATTTAGGTTTTCAAGCCCCATGACGGACAAAAAAAAAAAAAGATTTAGGAAAGGTTTCATGTGGCTTTACATTTTCTGAATGTGTTGCTAGAAAGTTTTTGTTTTTTGTCTGAAATTCTCTTAATTTTTAAAACAAAATTGCTCTAATTTTAAGTCCTGTTTACTTTCTACATCAGAATTGGTCTGAAGACAGTGATGATGAAGATGCCCAACAGCCCTTAAGCAGAGAAGATTCTGGGATCCAGGTAGACAGGACCCCATTGGAAGAACAAGATCAAAGCAGAAAAGTGGGACTTCAAGTCAGCTGGAAAGGTATTGTTGGTGAGGTCAGATGCTAGTGTTTTTTGACAGGAATTACCTAAAGAAAAATCAGGTTTTGCGATTCCATTGGCCAGGAACTCTGCTATCCTTAGAAAATGAGTTTTAAACCACTTGTAGATGATTACTTTAAAAAAGAAGAGACACAAAGGTGGATACTAGGGACTCACACATATAATCCTAGCTCCTCAGGATGCTGAGATCTGAGGATTGAGGTATGAAGTCAGCTCAGTTTTGTCTCAGACAAAACTGAGACTCTTTTTTGTTGTTATTGTTTGATTGTTTTTGCCGGTCATAGGGCCTGAACTCTGGGTCTGGGCACTGTCCCTCAGCTCTTCAGCTCAAGGCTAGCGCTCTACCACTTGAGCCACAGCATCACTTCTGGCTTTTTCTGCATATGTGGTACTGAGGAATCGAACGCAGGGCCTTATGGAGGCAAGGCAAGCACTCTGCCACTGAGCCACCTTCCCAACCAAAAACTAAGAGACTCTTACCTCCAATTAGCCAGTAAAAAGCTGGAAGTGGTGTTGCTCAAATGCTAGTTTAAAAAAAGCCAAGGGAGGACAAGAGTTCCTGAGTTGAAGTGCCAGTACCAACACACACATACACACAGACAAAGAAGAAAAAGCATGGTAAATTAATGTTGAAAGGGAGTTTAGTGTACTTTTTTATGTGGTACTGGGATTTGAACTCAGCGCCTTGTGCTTGTGAGGCAGGCACTCTACCATTTGAACTATCTTCTCCCACTGCCTAGCCCTTGTTACTTGTGTTTATTTTTCTGGTAAGATTTTTCTTTTTATGCCCAGGCCAGCCTTGACTACAGTCCTTCAAAGATTCCTACATAACTGGGATTCAGGTCTGTGTCAACATGTCTACCTTTTTTATTAAGATGGACTTGCTAACATTTGGGAAGACTGGTCTTGAACCATGATCCTCCCAATCATCATGCCTTGCTGTAGAGTGTTAATTTTTTAAGTAGTTCTGGTAATTTAGTCCAGAGTGTTTTAATTCATTTTTTTTGGAGAAGAATTAACTTTTCTGAAGTCAGGGGCTTTAATCACAATGTGAATGTTATCAAATGTTATTTTTCTGTGAAATTATTCCATGATTTTTCTCTTTTACTCTAATACTGCATTGATAAATTTTCTAATATTGAATTACCTTTCAGTTATCCAGCTAAATTTCTTTGTTCATTATGATATTTTTATGTTTTTGTTTTGTAAACTTAGAACCTTGCACTCTTGTACAGCTTACTTGATCACTCTACAACTTGAACCACATTTCTAGTCCAGCTTTTTGCTGGCTAATTGGAAATGCAATCTCTTGGACTTTTCTGCCCAGGATGGTTTCAAACCTTGATCCTCAAATCTGAGTCATCTGAGAAGCTAAACTTACAAGTATGAGGCAACAGTTCCAGGCTACTGTTCTATTTTAATGTAGGATTTTTCATCTTTATTGTTTGGTAAATTACTTTCCTAACATCCCTTCTTTGATGTTACCATCAAATCATATTAGTTTCCCATTTTTCTAGAAAATAAAGTAGAAATTATCCAATATTTGAAAGCTTTAGAAGGGTTGGGATGGTCTTTAGTTACCATTGCAATTTCTTTAAGACTTACTGTGCTATTGAAATATACCATTTGTATCCCTTCATTGGTAGAATCATTTTAAATTTATGCAATTACTTTTTACTTTCTAAGCATTGACATTTATTTAAACATTGTCTATCGATATGGTTTAAAAAATGATTAGACATAAATGTTAGACATTTGTGTCTCCATATGTTTTAAAAAATTATTAGACAAGTAGTATTTTTTAACTTTCTAATTTTTCCCTCCTTGGTCATGGGCCTTGAACTCTGGGCCTGGGCACTGTCCCTCAGCTCTTCAGCGCAAGATGAGCACTCTACCTTTTGAGCCACAGCGCTGCTTCTGGCTTTCTGGTGGTTAATTGGGGATAAGAGTCTCAGGGACTTTCCTGCCCAGGCTGGCTTTGAACCGTGATCTTAGCCTCCTGAGTAGCTAGGATTACAGGCATGAACCACCGGCTCCCAGCTTAACTTTCTAATTTTTTTTTTTAAAACATTATAATGTAATTTGTTGTTGTTGATGTGGTACCAAGGAATCGAACCCAGGATCTTATGCATGCTAGACAAGCACTCTACCACTAAGCCACAATCTCATCCCATATATATATTTAAAATTTTTTTTTAAGCCGGGCGCTGGTGGCTCACGCCTGTAATCCTAGCTACTCAGGAGGCTGAGATCTGAGGATCTCGGTTCAAAGCCAGCCCGGGCAGGAGAGACCGTGAGACTCCTATCTCCAATAAACCACCAGAAAACCGGAAGTGGCGCTGTAGCTCAAGTGGTAGAGCGCTTGCCTTGAGCTGAAGAGCTGAGGGACAGCGCCCAGGCCCAGAGTTCAAGCCCCACGACCGACAAAAAAAAAAAAAAAATTTTTTTAATTGGTTGTTGGGCTTGAACACAGGACCTGGGCATTGTCCCTGAGCTCTTTTTGCTCAAGGCTATTGCTCTACCACTTTTAGCCATAGCGCCACTTCTGGTTTTCTTGTGGTTAATTAGAGATAAGAGTTTTATGGCCTTTCCTGCCCTGGCTGGCTTTGAACCATGATCCTCAGATCTCAGCCTCTGAGTAGCTAGGATTACAGGCATGAGGGACCAGTGCCCAGCTTATCTAATATTTTTTAAGAGACACTGCAGGTACAAAGTCCTGGTATTTTGAACAAGTATATATTTGTTCACTATTTGTGATTATTATTCTAAGTTGTCAACTTGACTGAATTGATGAATGCTAGATCAGTAAATCATATCTCTGTCTGTGTCTGAGGGTGTTTCCAGAGACAAAAGAGCCTGCAGGCTCTGACCTAACGAATAGATTAAACTCTTGATGGATTCCTAATAGGATGGTATTATTGAGAGGTAGCAGAAAGTTAGAGGAAAAAGGTGATTAAGCTGTGTAATTGAGGCTATCTTGCCCTGGACCTTTCTGGTATTCTCTTTCTCTACTTCCTGTCTTATGATGCAAACTGCTCTGCCATACCTTCCCACCTTGATAAACTTCTTAAATGGAGCAAAAATAAATATTTCCTAAGTTGTTCTTGAGCTTTTCGTTTGTGTCAATGCAAAAGTAACTAATGTACTAGCCAGGTAATCATGGCTCATGCCTGAATCCTGGCTACTTAGGAGGCAGGGATCAGGAGAATCACTGCTTAAGGCCAGCATGGCAAAAAGAGACCCCATCTCAACTAATAAAAAAAAACGGGGATGGTGGCACACACCTCACACCTGTCATCCCAGCTACAGAGAAAATGCACGCACACATACACCCAAGAGAACAAAAGTCTAGGCTGGTCCAGGAATAAATTCAGCACCCTATTAAAGATAACCAAAGCACAAAGGGGTTGGGAGTCATGGCTCATACCTAGAAAGCACAAGGCCCTGAGGTTAAGCTCCAGTACCACCCCTCCAAAACAAAACAAAAAACCCAAATGCACCATTATTATTTGTACTTATTCCACTTCCTTCCAGCAGAAGAGCCAGATGACAGAAGCTGGCTGGAACAGCATGTGATCCACCAGTACTGGATAACCAGGCCCTCAAGGATTCCACATAGTTTACATTTGCATTCCAATTTAGCTGCTGTCTGGTAAGAAACTAAACAAGTCAGTGTAAAGATAAGAGAAACTTTGGTATTTCTTTGAAATGTTAACTTAACATTCAGTTTTTGAATTTTTTTGTCTGTGTGTGCCAGTACTGAGACTTGAGCTCAAGAATCTGGACACTAGCTCTTAATATTTTCCCTCAAGGCTAACACTCTACTATTAGAGCCAGACTCCACTTCTGGCTTTTTGCTGGTTAATTGGAGATAAGAGTCTGACAGGCTTTTTCTGCACAGGCTGACTTCAAACCACAATTTTTAGATCTTAGCTAGGATTATAGACATAAGCCACCAGCACCCAATTTGGAAATAATCTTAACTGAAAACACACACACTCACATTCACATTCTCCATATTGGGGACTCTAACCCAGTGTCGTATGCATAATAGGCAAATGCTTTATCACTAAGCTAAGGTCTAGCCATCTTGAAAAATCTTAATTACTTATTATTTAAAATCAGTTATTTATGGGGCTGGGAAGGTGGCTCAGTGGTAAAGTGCTTGCCTTGCATACGTGAGGCCCTGAGTTCGATTCCTCAGCATCACATAAACAGAAAAAGCTGGGGAAAAAAAAGCTGTGGCTCAAATGGTAAGTGCTAGCCCTGAAGAGCTCAGGGATAATAACCAGGCCCGAGTTCAGGCCCCATGACTGACAAAAAAAAAAAGTTATTTATGCTGACTTTTTCAATGTGAATAGATTTGTATATATTGCCATTATTTGTTTCATTTTAGTACATTCATTGTAGAAATACACTACATACCAGGCACTGGTGGCTCATGCCTATAAATCCTACCTACTCAGGAGGCGAAGATCTGAGGATCAAGGTTTGAAGCCAACCCAGGCAGAAAGCCAAGAAATGTTAATCTCCAATTAACCAGCAAACAATTGGAAGTGGAGGTGTAACTCAAGTGATAGAGTGCCAGTCCTGAGTGAAAAAGCCAAGTAAAAGCATAATGTCCTGAGTTCAAGCTCCAGGATTGGTACCAGAAAAAGAAGAAAATGAAAAAGCATATATTCATTGAGACAGTTAATTTTACCTAGATAGAGACTTCTCCATTGACATTTGATATTTGCTTCTAATAGGGAGCAACATCTGTATAGCAGTGATCCCCTGTATTTTCCAGATGACAGAATTTTTGTTACTGAGACGCAAATTATTCGGGAAACCCTATGGTAAGATCTGTTCATCTCATTACTAGTCTGAAAAGCTTTATTTGTGAGAAGTAAAATGCTTGTAAGAGAAGGTGTTCAGATGTTTTCTATATGCAACTAGAAGTAGGCCATTAGCAATAAAGTTTAGATTTTATATTTGACCATGGAAGTTAGGAGGTTTTAAGTCTACTTGCTTTTTAAATCTTACATAATTTAGTATATGATTTTGTTGAATTAAACCATCATTTTTAGGAATGTGTACTAGGGCTTGAACTCAGGGCATTCAAGGCTGGACCCTACCACTTGTGCTGTACCTCTACGTTCAATTTTTACTTGTTAACTGTAGATAAGTCTCATGGGCTTTGCTATCCAGGCTGGCTTTGAACTGCCATCCTCAGATCTCAACCTCCTGAGTAGCTAGCATTACAGGTGGGAACCACTGGTACCCAGCCATTTTTTTAATATCTAAGTTCAAAACAAGATTTGCTGCTGACTGCTTTTTACTAGAAAGAGTGTATCAGTCAGAGCCTGCTCTGTTGCCTGAGGCTGGGAGTTAATGCAGCATGTAGCATTTTAGGGATGAGGCCTTGGATCCTCAGATCTCACCATAAATTGTGCTATAGACATGCTGATCACCTTAGAGATGCATTAGCAGGCTATGGTGGCCCACACTAACTGCTCTGGAGGAAGAGATCTGAGGGTCAGTTCAAAGTCACCCTAAGAAGAAAAAGGTTCACAAAACTCATTTCCAATTAACTGGCTAAAAATCTGAACTATAAGCATGGCTCAAATGGTAGGGCCCCAGCCATGAGTGTTCTGGTAAAAATAAATAAATAAATAAATATTAAATGTTCTCTTTGGGCCATCAAGTGTACAACAGAGGAGGAGGAGCTTTGATGGCAGTTTCAGACAGTTCTAAGATGAGAATGAAATATCTTGATACTTTTTATGTAATTGAGAGCACTGGCTTCAGAGCTGGCTTCCATTTTCTTGTCATACAACTTTTTTTGTTTCCCAATTCTGAATCATCAGTAAAAATCTTTTAAGCATACTATAGTAACTGACTTTCTAAACATGAAGCACATTCAGTTTTCCTATTTCATTTCAGGTTACTTTCAGGAGTGAAAAAGCTCTTTATATTTCAATTGACAGATGGGAAAGTCACTGTGAGAAATAATATTATAGTAACCCATTTAACACATGTAAGTCATTTATTGTAACTTAATTAAAATGGGGAGAATGATAGAAGGGTGACACAATTCATGATGCATTGTATTCATGACATGTTGAATCCATCCTTCATAAACTACTCATAGATGTAGAAATGATGAAAAGTAAAAGAATTAAACTAGGTAATAGTTTGTATAAGCCATGGCAATGTAACTTTAGAACCTTTACAAATATGAGTTGTTGATCACAGTCAAGATATAAAAAGTAAGATTAAATTGTTTGTATAGTACTTAGATAAATGTTTTTTTGGTTGGTTGTGGGGCTTGAACTTGGGACCTCGGCACTGTCCCTGAGCTTTTTGCTGAAGGCTAGTACTTTACCACTTTGAGCCATAGCACCACTTCTGGTTTTCTGATGAGTAAATGGAGATAGGAGACTCACAAACTTTCCTGCCTGGGCTGGCTTTGGACCATGATACACAGATCGCATCCTCCTGAGTAGCTAGGATTTTAGGCCTGAACCACCGATGCCTGGCCCACCCTCTGTTTTCTTTATTCTTTTTTCTTTTTATTCTGTCCTGGCAAAGCTGCATAATTACTTTGCCTATAGCAAAAATATTAAACATGTGCTATAATTCCATATTGTGTAGAGATTAATACTCACTGAATAAAGAAGTAAATATTCAAGTGGCTCACACCTATAATCCTACATAGGAGTCTTTTTTTAATTTATTTTTATTTTTTTATTTTTTATTTATTTATTTTATCTGGTTGTGGGGCCTGAACTCTGGGCCTGGGTGCTGTCCCTCAGCTCTTCAGCTCAAGGCTAGCGCTCTACCACTTGAACCACAGCGCCACTTCCGGCTTTTTTTTTCTGCTTATATGGTGCTAAGAAATCGAACCCAGGGCCTCATGCATGTGAGGCAAGCACTCTACCACTGAGCCAACTTCCCAGCCCAACTACACAGGAGTCTTTGATCTGAGGATCACAGTTCAAAGCCAACCTGTGCAGGAACATCCATGGGATTCTTCCAATTAAGCAGCAAAAAGCTGGAAGTAGAGATGTGACTCAAGTGCTAGCCTTGAATGAAAAAGCCAAGTAAGAATGTGAGGTCCAGGCAGGCACTAGTGGCTTATGCCTATTATCCTAGCTACTCAGACGGTCCTGAGTTCAAGCTTCAGTACTGACACATATACAAAATGTAAATATTCATCATTGCATTCTACTAAACTTCATGTTTTAAAACAACTACTACTAAGCCAGGCACACCTATAACCTAGCTATATCCTAAGTACTGAGGAAGCTAAAATCTGTGGATCATGGTTTAAAGCTGCCCTGGGCAGGAAAGTCCATGAGACTCTTTTATCTCCAAGTAACCATTAAGAAGCCCAAAGTGAAGATGTGACACAAGTGATGAGAGCACCAGCCTTGCACAGAAAAGTCAAGGGGGTTGCCTAGGCCCAGAGTTCAAGCCCCAGAGAGAGAGAGAGACAGAGAGAGAGTATGTGTGTGTGTGTATTTTATTTTTTCAGTTAATTTAAAATAACTACTGTTTGCTTCTGTTGTAGAGCTGTTTACAGTCTGTGCTGGAACAAATAGCAGAGTATGGCCAGGTTGTGTTTCGACTCCAGGAGTTTATTGATGAAGTCATGGGACACAGCTCTGAAAGCCTATTACCTGGAGGGAGTTCTGTACCAAAGAAGTCCACTGATGCTCCCTTCAGAACCTATCAGGCTTTCATGTGGGCTCTGTACAAATACTTCATTAGTTTCAAGGAGGAACTTACAGAGATTGAGAAGTGCATCATCAATAATGGTATTTAAGTTCTTTAATTTGTAACACACTCAGCTCATATTTGAATGCCACTGAGATTATCAGTCAGTATGGGATTTAAAAATTACCAGTTTAGTGTGGTACACCTGTAATCCCTGCTACAGTGGAAGACAGAGCCAAGTAGAAAAAAGAGAGTGAGCTGGAAGCATAGCTCAAGTGGTAAAGTTCTTAAAGACCCTGAGTTTAAACCAAAGTATAAACAGGAAGTGGAAAGAAAGGGAAGGAGGAAGGAGAGAATGCATGGCAAATAAAGAGTTCTGATAAGGGCATTTCTTTTTTAAGTAACTGAAATTTATTTTAAGCCATTTATGTCTCTAAATTTCTAAAGAGAACAGAACACTTTATAGTGAAAATTCTTCCTCCTGCCCTAGTTTCTGAGCTGGTCAGTTCCCTTCCCCAGTGACAATCAGGTCCACAGCACTTGTGCATACTTTGTGAAGTAGTTTAGACATACACACATAAACATAAACACACATAAATGCACACACATAAACCCATGTCTGCTAGTCACTGTCATTTAAATTTAAAACATACTATAGTGTATGGTATAATTCTGTTTTATAAACTGTTTCACTCTATGACCAAGTTCTTTCTGATGGAGATTTAGACAGTTTCCACTCTTTGGCTATTAACAACAGAGCTGCAGTGATAACCACTCAGACAATTCGTTAATTGTATATACACACCCTATGCAGATTGTTCAAAATAGAATTTCAAAGTTCACTAGATTTAGATTTGGCCACATTGCTCTCCAGAGAGATATCAATATATAGATTTGTATTCTTGTTTCCTCACACTCTACCAACAATGAAGTCCTCATGATACAGAACTCAACACCCTCCATTTTGCTAGGCCAAAGGAATGGCTTAGCATAGTTTTAGTGTTTTCATGTCACATTTATGTCACCTTTAGGACATACATTTTCCTTGCTTTTGAGTTTGGCTTATTGATGCTTACAGATACCACGATCACTCTTGCAATAGTAGTGGACAAGTTGTCACCTCGATTGGCTCAGCTCAAGGTTCTGCACAAGGTGTTCAGTACTGGAGTAGCAGAAGTGCCGCCCGACACCCGGAATGTTGTTCGGGCATCTCACCTGCTCAATACCCTGTATAAGGCCATCCTTGAATATGACAGTGTTGGAGAAGCTTCTGAGCAAACTGTATGTGGGGCCACTGCCTGGTCTAAAGTGCATGCCAAAAAGTGGTAGATAACCTGTCGTAGTTCTCTGTTAAATAATTGTGGTCTTTGTTTTGTATTTTTGTGCCCATCCAGAGGCTTGAACTCAGAGCCTGGGCACTGTTAGTTATTTTGCTCAAGGCTAGTGCTCTACCATTTGAGCCACAGCTCCACTTCCAGCTTTTTGCTGGTTAATTGGAGATAAGAGTCTCGTGGACTTTGCTGCCTGGGCTGGCTTGGAGCTGTGACCCTTATTATTCATTACAAGAGTGAGCCACCGGCACCCAGCTAAAGGATACTTTAATTCATGGTATATCAAGCCAGTTATTCAGCTTTAAAACTAGTTTCCAAATTCAAGAAACTGGCCTTTTATCACTAATTGCCAACATCATCAAAAAGATCAGGCAAGATGTGAGAAAAACCTGGTTAATATAGATACTTGCAGTAACCCTGTTCATATTGAAAAATAATCCTATAGTATGAGGCATTTAAACCAGTCATAATTATAGAGGGTCATGGCCACCAATGGTGCCTGGGTAAGAGGAAATGGAGAGTTGTTTAGTAATTGCAAAGTTTCAGTGTTACATCACAAAAAAATTCTGGGGATCTTTTTTCACAACAGTGTGATTGTATTTAAGTACAAGTTTAGTAAACACACTTAAAAATGGTAAAGGTGATACCATATGTGGTGCTGATGCCAGTAATCTCAGCACTTGGGAGACTGAAGCTGGAGAATTGCAAATTTAAATTCAGCCTATATATTTTAAAAGTACAAGATCAGTGCCTGGCACATTGACTCACGATTGTAATCTCAGCTATGCAGGAGGCAGAGATTAGGAGGATCACAGTTGGAAGGAAACCCAGGCTAACAGTTTTAGGGAAACCCTTATCCCTATTTCAGCCAATAGCTGGGCCTGGTGATGTGCAACAGTCATTCCAGCAATATGGGAAGTATAAATAGGGAATTATGATTTAGGCCAGTCTGGGTATAATGAACACAAGGCCCTATCCCAAAAGTAATACAGGGCTGGAGGTGTGGTTCTAATGGTAGGGTGCCTGCCTATTAAGTACAAGGCCCTAGTACTACCAGAAAAACAACAACAAAAGAAACCAAACCCACAGATCTAACTAGTCTATAATGTAGGAAGGTAAATGTTTATTAAGGTGCAATTTCTAGACTTATTTCTATTTGTTGTATAACTTCTCTTGTCATTTTAGTATTATACTTCAGAATAATAGAGCCCAATTTCTTTCAAATTTTTCCTACTGGAAAATGTAAGAGAATAAAGTCATTTCCTTGTTCTTTGTTAGTGGCGCTGTGTAAACAGTACAGTTGTCTCTGTCTGCCTGTACTGTCCCAGGTTATGTCTATTGTCTCTGTGATTTTCACTCTTAAGAGGATTCCTATATGAATGGATAGCAATATAGTCATCCCACATTTAGGGGAAGCTTTCATAAGGACTTTAGAGTTAGATATAGGGGACTTCAATTTTTTTTCTTCTTTTTTTCTTTTTTTGTTGGTCATGGGGCTTGAACTCAGAGCCTGGAGCTGTCCCTAAGCTTTTTCATTCAAGGCTAGTGCTCTCCCACTTAGAGCCACAGTGCCACTTCCAGTTTTCTGGTGGTTAATTGGAGATAAGAGTCTCATCAACTTTCCTGCCCAGGCTGTCTTTGAACCGAGATCTTCAGATCTCAGTCTCCTGAGTAGCTAGCATTATAGGCATGAGCCACCAGCTCCTGGCTTAATTTCTTACTAGTTTCAGAAATATGTACAAGTCCAATCAGAGATTTGTGGGGGATGCAGGAGGTTTTACTCAGGGCCTAGACACTGGCCCTGATATTTTGTGTACTAGATTAACACTCTGCCACTTGAACCACAATTTTGCTTTGGCTTTTATCTTTGTAGATAAGAGTCTCATGGCCTTTCCTCCCTGGGCTAGCTTTGAATGCAGTCTTTAGATTTCAGCTGCCTAAGTATCAAGAATTATGAGTGTGAGATACTAGCCCCTGCCCCAGTCAGCTTTTTCAAGGCATTTTGTTTGGGGTTTTTTTGTCTTTTCTTTTTTGGTACTGGGGATCGAACCCAGGACATTGCACTTGCTTGGCAAGCGCTTTGCCACTGAGCTACATCCCAGCCCTTTCAAGGCATTTTGGAAATGTTTAAGCCTCATTTGATCCTAGGCCTGGATCTCTGAGCACAAGCCATGCTCTTGTCCTTAGGTCTCCCTCCTGTTCTCCCTATGGGTGGAAACAGTGCGGCCCTACCTTCAGACTGTTGATGAATGGATTGTACACGGGCACCTATGGGACAACGCCAAGGAGTTCATCATACAGAGGTAGGCTGCTTGTGGAGTAAAGGGTGCTGGGTGCTACCATCCCTTATAGGATTATCTCATACCAAGTGTAAAAACTTACTTTAGTTGCACATGGCACTGAAGGCAAAGACCAAATGCAGGAGCTGTGTTGCCAATATAGCACAAGCATTTCCTGTTGCATCTTTTCTTTTTATTTCAATGTCAATATTAAGACTTGAACTGAGGGCCGGGGGCCCTGTTCCTAAGATTTTTCACTCAAGGCTAAAGCTTTACCACTTGAATCACAGCCCCACTTCCAGTTTTCTGGTGGTTAATTGGAGATAAGAGTCTTAAGGACTTTTCTGTCTGGACTGGCTTTAGAGCTGCAATCCTCAGATGTCAGACTCCTGAGTAGCTAAGATTACAGGTGTGAGCCACCAGAACCTGGCTTCATTTATTTATTTTTTTCTGAGCAAAATCATAAACTGTAGTAGACAACCATTTAAGTCCTTAGAGCCTACATAAGGCACATGGATAGACTGGCCTGCCTTCAGCCAAAGCTTATATCTGTTATTAGATATTGTTTTGTTACTCTTACATGAGAATTGTGGAAACAGGATTCTGACTGTTCTTCTAAGACGAAGAGTGGCCATGCTTACATTGTGAAAAGCAGCCCAGACTGGGAATGTGGCTTTAGGGTAGAGTGATTGCCTAGCGTGCACGAAGCCCTGGGTTCCATTCCTCAGTACCACAGAAAAAGCCAGACGTGGCTCTGTAGCTCAAGTGGTAGAGTAAAAGCAGCTCAGGGACAGGCCCAGACCCTTGAGTTCAAGCCTCAGGACTGGCAAAAAACAACAACAAAAAAAAGGCAGCCCAGTTATCTAGGAGGGACTCAGTGGTAAGACATGAGAATGGCATGCACAAAGCTCTGGGTTCAACCTCCAGCACTAAAAAGAAACAAAAAAGAATCTGTATGGGAATAAAAAGATAGAAAATAACCTGGAAATCACTTTCATAGGAGATATTAAAATGAATTAGCTTCTATTCTGCTTCTGAAGGAGCACCAAATTTGTCATAATTTGTTTTGTTTCAATTCAGGAAATAATTTCTTTTACTTACTTTGCCATTCATAGTACTTTCCTGTGTTAAGCTGAAGATAAAAACTACCCTGTTGGGGCTGGGAAGGTGGCTCAGTGGTAGAGTGCTTGCCTTGCATGCCTGAGGCCCTGGGTTTGATTCCTCAGCACCACATAAGCAAAAAGAAAAAAGCTGGAAGTGGCACTGTGGTTCAAGTGGTAGAGTACTAGCCTTGAGCTGAAGAGCTGAGGGACAGCGCCCATGCATAGAGTTCAGGCCCCATGACCGGACCAAAAAAAAAACAACAACAAAAAAACCCCACCCTGTTTAATCTGAAGATGGCTACATTTTACCAGTAATTGCTAACACTATATTTGTTTGTTTGTTGTCAGTTGTGGGACTTGAAATCTACATCTGGGCCTGTCCCTCAGCTCTTCAGCTCAAGGCGAGCACTCTACCACTTGAGCCACAGTGCCACTTCTGGTTTTCTGAGTGGTTTATGGGAGATAAGAGTCTCACAGCCTTTCCTGCCCCAGCTGGCTTTGAACCATGATCCTCAGCTCTCAGCTTCCTGAGTAGCTAGGATTACAGGCATGAGCTATTGGTGCCCAGCTTAACACTATGTACTGTTACATTTAAGGAAAGTAAGTTATAAATTACAATTCTTTTCAATCCCTGTAGAAACAAAAATGTTCCAGTAAACCACAGAGACTTCTGGTATGCAACTTACACATTGTACAGCGTATCAGAAAAGACAGAAAATGAAGAAAAAATGAGCGACAATGCTAGTGCGAGTTCTGGCAGTGACCAAGGTCCCTCCAGTAGGCAACACACCATGGTGTCTTTCCTCAAGCCTGTCCTGAAGCAGATCATCATGGCTGGCAAGTCAATGCAGTTGCTGAAGAATCTGAGGTGTGCAGAGAGTACCACATGCCAGGCAGCAGCCAGAGGTAACGTGTTGTCCTTGTGTTTCCCTCAGCCACTGCCTCTAACCCCCGTCATCCTGAAGTGCCTACGTATTTTGTAGTTTAAAGCTTGATGGACGATTGTTATTTTGGTGGAAAATATCACCATTGTTAAATGAATAAACATGCTGCTATACATTGAAAAAACAATTATTGCCAGGTGCTGGTGGCTTACTTCTATAATCCTAGCTCCTCAGGAGACTGAGATCTGAGGATCAAGGTTCAAAGCCAACCTGAAAAGACAATTTCAGTTAGAGAGGTATGACTCAAGTGGTAGAGTGTGCCAGCCTTGAGCAGGAAAAGGAAAGTGAGAGTTTGAGGCCCTGAGTTCAAGCCCAAGTAGTGGTGCGTGCATGAGTGCTCCCACATACACACACACGCATGCGCGCACACACACGCACACATGCGTGCCCCCAAAAAGATTATTTTCATTGGAAACTTTTAGCAGTGTATTTGGAAAGGCAGTTCTATATGCACTTTTTTGTCACTCAGTTCATTTTGACTAGTCCTTTTAAAAAGTATTTCTTGAGGACCTTGGCTCCTTAATAGCTATATGACTGACTTTGTCTACTTCAATACTTTTTTTCTTTGTGGGTATTTTGTTTTTGACTGGATGGTTGACTAAATTTCCTGGGTGGTGTTTTTCCAATGAAATTTGACTCTTGTATGTCTTATCATAGTGTAGAATGGTTATAACTTTCAAGTACTCTTCTGGGATTAACTGTCCATAATAAAATGTAGTTTTATTTTGTACTTAACCATGAACCTTGCATTTGACAGAACATCTGAACTGATTAGTTTTGTTTCCCTGTTAAGGATAAAGAAACAGAGACAGATGCTTATAGATCAAGAGAAAAATATCAGGCAAAGCTGAGCTTGCTCATTGTTCATTAATGTGACTTAACAAGAACATAATTCACCTTACCTATGTTTCAGATGCAGAAAGAAAAAGCTTGCACACCCTCTTTCTAGAATCTGTACAGTCACGTCTTCGACGTGGAGAAGATTCCACCCCACAGGTCCTTACGGAGCCACAGACAGCCACAAAGAACCTAACGAAGATGCAGTCCATTGCTGAACGGCATTTGGAGCTGGATGATGACCAAGACCCACTGCTAGCTGTTAACTTTGCAAGGTGATAAGAGTCAGTCAGACCTGTGTGTTCTGGATGGCTTCTTATGGACCTTTCCTGTCTGGGCTGGCTTCAAACCATGATCCTCAGATCTCAACCTCCTGTGTTTATCTAGTTCACATGTGTAACATTGCCTACTCTTTTTTTTTTAAACCAGTTTAAAGACTTGGCCCTATAGTCTGTCTCTCTGCCCCTAGGAATGCTGTTGCTTGTCTAGAATGTGCACACACATAACATTTGCCTGGGGATTGGGATGATTTTAACCACTTAGCCTTAATCTAGAAAACAATTAGTGCTGCGTGGTGCCCTGTTGTCTGATGGCTGGCACTCACTGTTCAGCTCTAATAGAAGGACCAACTCCAGCACCATAAATGCAGCAGTAACTCAGAAAAGATGTTACGGGGCTGGGGGGAGGTTTCCTGTTTCTGTAATAATGTTGATTTTAAGACTAAAGGTAAAAATGGGACTCCGCTTTTGATTGAAGATACTTCTGTTTACAGCAGCTCATAAAATCATTACTCACAAGCCAGGCACTGGTGGTACACATCTGTAATCCTATCTACGCAGGAGGCTGAGATCTGAGGATCGTGTGTGTCATAAAGCCAGCCCAGGCAGGAAAGTCCATGGGACTCTTATCTCCAATTATCCATTTAAAAGCTGGAAGTGGTGCTGTGGATCAGATGGTAGAGTGCTAGCCTTGGTCAAAAAAGCTCAGTGACAGTGCCCAGGGCCTGAGTTCAAGCCCCACTACCTACATTAATAACAACAACAACAAATCATGTTTTATCTTTAAGGTTGTATTTGGAGCAGAGTGACTTTCATGAGAAATTTGCTGGTGGTGATGTATGTGTGGATAGATCTTCAGAATCTGTGACATGCCAGACTTTTGAATTGACACTGAGGTCTTGCCTCTATCCTCATATTGATAAGCAGTACCTACATTGCTGTGGAAATCTCATGCAAACTCTAAAACAAGATTACAGGTAAGAAAGAGTAATTTAGTTTGGGGAATAATCAGTGGTTTACTTTAAAAACAGTAGGATTTGTGTATATATGTGTGTATTGTGTTTGTGTGTGTATTATACCTAGAACATTCTGCAGACTTTTGTATTTAATATTGATACTATATTATTAATTATTAGGCCATGCAGAGATAACTCATACCTGTAATCCTAGCTACTCAAGAGTCTGAGATCTGAGGATGCAGTTGGAAGACAGCCTGGGCATGAAAATCCATGAGACACTGTCTCCAATTAACCACCAGAAAACCAGAATTAGAGCTGTTGGGCTCAAAGTGGTAGAGCAGTAGCCTTGAGCGAAAAAGTTCAAGGACAGCACGCAAGTCCTGAGGTTAAGCCCAAGACCAATCAAAAAAAAAGGGAGAAAAAGAGTACAAATAACATATTAACAAATATTAGCAGTGAAAATTTACCATGGATGATGGGATTGGATAAGTTTCTGTTCTTTTCATTGTTATGATTTTGCTTGGTTCTCTGTGATGTTAGAAAAAGTTATGTTTCTGGTTATTAAAGAAAGAAAGCAGGTGGGCACCAGTGGCTCACGCCTGTAGTAATTGCTACTCAGGAGGCTGAGATCTAAGGATCCCAGTTCAAACCAGGCCAACCAGGAAAGTCTGTGAGACTCTTATCTCCAATTAATCACCAGAAACCAAAAGTGGCACTGTGGCTCAAGAGTGGAAAAGCTGAAGGACAGTGCCCAGGCCTGGAGTTCAAGCCCCATGACTGACCAAAAAAAAAAGGAAGATAGAAAGCATACACTGTGTTAGTGAAAAAAATCTTTTAAGCGCTGGTAATATATCTAATTTTAGTAAGTGTCAAATATACTTATGCTCCTAACTGTGGCAGACCTGATACTGGCTAAGAACCCTGTCTGACAAAGACTTTTTCTCACTTCTGTCCAGGCTGGTAGAATACTTGCAGGCCATGAGGAATTTTTTCTTAATGGAAGGTGGAGATACCATGTATGACTTCTACACTTCAATCTTTGATAAAATAAGAGAAAAGGAAACCTGGCAGAATGTGTCTTTTCTAAATGTCCAACTCCAAGAAGCAGTAGGTCAGCGTTATCCTGAAGATAGTGCACGGTAATATATGGGAGGTACCTTTGACTCTAAGTACTTTAAAATAGGGCCAGGCCTGGTGGCTCACACCTATAATCTCAGCTGCTTGGGAGATGGAGGTAGGGGATTTTTTTCTTGAAGATAGGCAAAATGGTGATCAACAATTGAGACCTAATCCAAAAAAATAATCTGGTCATGGTGGTTATACACCTGTAATCACAAATACAAAGGGAGAGGAGGTAGGATGGCCTGACAGCCATCCCAGGCAAAAGAACAAAATTCTATCTGAAAAGTAAAGCAATAGGGCTCGGGATACGATTCAAACGAGAGAATGCTTGTTAACAAGGCCATGAGTTCAAATTGCCACCAATAATAATAATAAAGTATATAGTAAATCATATGCCAGGCCAAGCAAAAACCTGTAAATTTTTTATGTATTATCTTATTTGATTATATCAGGTACAGTGATGTGTACTTGTCATCCCAGTTACTTGGGAGGTTGAGCCCAGGAGTTTGAGGCCAACCTGGGAAGCATTGAGAGACCTATCTCAAAACAAAAAGAAAATGAAAAAAGAAAATTGAGGCATCGGGTAGCCAAGTATTGTGTTCACAGAGTGAAAAGCAGACTGGATTTGTCTGGTAGCCTCCTTCATAGGCCAATAGTAAGCCATCTTCTCTCTCAGCTCCTGGGTGCACTGCTGTTGCTGCTTCAGGAAGCACTACCGTCACAGGACAGGTCAGCGATCCTGACTGTCCATATCTCTCAGCCTTGCTATCTCCCACCACAAAGAACTTGACCTTCACAGAATGACCTTCACTGCTTAGGCTCAGTAACACCCTGCAAGGTACCTTGCACTAGACAAATCACTTTGTCTTATCAGATAGGGAGATTTTTGCCCTCTGGCTTCATATTTGTTGGCCACATGTCACACATACACCTATTCTCTCCTACTATCGGGCTTCATATTTCAGGGATTTGTAACAGTTCTGGCTTCCCCTAATTCTGTCCTTCTTTACCCTCCAGTGGCAGACTCTCCCATTTGTGCCTTGACAGCAGTCTGCTTACTTATTACAGCCCATCTCCTCCCTGCCCTGAAGGTTGCTCTGGAAGATGAGAGCAGCTGTCTGTCACTTGCTTAACAAACAGTCTGTGTTTTTAGCAGTGACCTGATGAATAGATCACTTAGTGAATATGATATGAAAGACTATTAAGTGATAATTCTGACTAAGTGCCTGAGTTGACTAATTCATAATCACACACTAGCCCTCCCTCTCTAGTTAACTCCTCTATGGGAAGCTGGGCATTGGTGGCTCATACCTGTAATACTTAGCTGTTCAGGAGGCTGAGATTGAGGGTCAAAGTTTGGCACTAACTTGGGCAGAAAGGCCTGTGAGAAACTTACCTCCACTTAACCAGGAAAAATCCAGAGGTGAAGGTATGGCTCAAGTGGTAGAGCACCACCAAATGAGAGAAGACGAATGCAAGGCCCTGAGTTCAAGCCCCACTACCTGCATGCACACAAGCATACACACAAATTCCATAGTGAACATCTAGGTATCATTTTCTGGAGAGTCAAATCATGTTTCAGTACCACCAACATTACAGTTTTAGATCCAAGAAAAAACAGGACACTTAATGTATCTGAGTAATTCCTGGTGCATGGAAATATCAACAGCAAAAAAGAAGAATCCTTGTTTGCCTTTCTTATTTCTAAAACTCACTTCCTACTCTGGAATATATGCTAAAAATATAAATTCTCATGTTTTACAAAATATGCAGTATCTGTTCTTGGTAATATTGTGCAAATAAATATTATATGTTCTGTTATTTTGTTATCTGAGCGAGATATTGAACCCAAGGCCTCTCTCATGCTCTAACACTGAGTTAAACCTGCCCTCATTTGTTTATTAAAATCTAATTTTTATATGAGTAAATACTGTCACAAATTAAAACTGACACTTCTTTATTTAGTCTGTCTATATCTTTTGAAAATGTTGACACAGCTAAGAAGAAATTACCAGTCCATATCTTAGATGGTCTGACCCTAAGCTACAAGGTAAGCCCTGATGTTCCTTATATGAACATTGTTTGCTATTGAAATCATGCAAGGACTAGGTCATTTCTGAGTCTGATTTCTGTTTTTGTTTTCATAGGTTCCGTGGCCTGTAGACATTGTGATAAGTTTAGAATGTCAGAAGATTTATAATCAGGTCTTTCTTCTCCTGTTGCAAATAAAATGGGCAAAATATAGTCTGGATGTTTTACTTTTTGGTGGTAAGATTTTTTTTTTTCAACAGATAAATCCTGATTTATTTTTAGTCCTGGCAGGGAGAGACTAGTGGATTTGGGTTTTTGGCTTTTTGGGTTTTGGTGCTGGTACTGAGGCTGGAACCTCAGGGCTTAGGTGCTGTCCCTTAGCTTTTTTTGCTCAAGGCTAGCAGTCTATCACTTAAACCCCAGCTCCACTTTGTCTTTTTTGCTTGTTAATTGGAGGTAAGAATTTCACAGATTTTTCTATCCTGCTAGCTTCAAACCTTGATCCTCAGATCTCAGCCTTCTGAGTAGCTAGTGAGTATAAGCAGTGAGCCGCCAGTGCCCAGCCATTTTTTAAAATATAAAAGAATATCAAATTCAACATCAGTTTTGTAGACCTTAAGTATGTAAATGAAATATCAGGAGGTTGTATGTAAAATAGATCTGAATGCAAGAACTGATTAGAAACTTACCCAAAAAAATTCTTGAGCCAGGTGCCTGGGCTCACATCTATAATTCTAGCTACTCAAGAGACTGAGATCTGAGGATCACAGTTCAAATCCAGTCCAGGCCGAGATTCTTATCTCCAGTTAGGCACCAGAAAACTATAAGTGGCTCAAAGTAGTAGAGTGCTAGCCTTGAGCAGATCAGTTTAGGAACAGCAACCAGATGCTGAGTTCAAGTCCCACAACCGACAAAAAAACGAAACAAAACAAAAAAACACCCAAAACCTTGTTAAAGTTATTCAGAAATGTTTTATGCAAAGGTAACAGGACTTGTACATGTTTCATTGCAGTGATGGCAAAAGTGATACAAAGACTTTCTGCACTTGTTCTTCTCAAGCACTGTGTTTGGGTCCCTCCTAAGACCTGGTCAGGGTGTCCCCAGCAGAGTAGATGCCAGATGGCTTAGAACTCTTTACTCATGTAATGTTGCACTGAGGTTTGAGTCAGTTCCATTTCCACCCACTTTACACTTTTAATCTTACAGAACTAGCCAGTTCTACTGCAGAGAAACACCAAGATAAAGAAGGCCAACGTGAACAAGACACAGTTGCTCAAATTGGCCTGCAGAAGAAACCAGTAGGACAGCAGATCCATCGCATGTTCCTCTTAAGAGTGAAGCTCATGCATTTTGTGAACAGTTTACACAACTACATCATGACCAGGGTTGGTGCCCTTGCACATACCTCAAACTTAGCTCATATTAATAAATACAAAAGGATCTCAAAATACTTGTGAAAAATGGAACACATACATAATTGGGTCACGAAATAACATGGCAGTAGGGGTTTTATTTAAAAAAAAAAATGTCCCTGAGCTTTTGTTCAAGGATAATCCTTTACCCATTGAATCACAACTCCACTCCTGGCTTTTTTGGTAATTTATTGGAGATAAGTCTCATGGACTTTCCTGCCCAGGGTGGCTTCCAACCACAATCCTCAGATCTGACCCTCTTGATTAGTTAGGATTATAGGTGTGAGCCACTGATGCCTGGTTTGTTTTTTGTTCTTTTAATTTTTTTAATTATCTTTAGTTGGACAAAGGCGTTTCAATTTCTTATGTCAGTTTATAAGTATAATGCCTCTTGATCAGTATCACCCCTTTCATCATCATCCCCCATCTGTCCCAATCCCCTCTATCCCGTTACCTCATTCCATTTTCACACTTGAATATTATGATTGATTTGTCCATTTTTTTCTCTCCTCATTCATCTGACCTCCCCCTCTGACCCCTCCTCTTAACAAAAAGTTTCATCTTCTTGTTGCTCATTTTGTTAAGCTGTAAGGTAGTGTGTATACCATGGTTTAGTCAGTTAGCATATATATGCATGTGGTCCTGTATTTTCATATATGTTTATAATTTATAACTATATATGGATACACATATGAGAAAACATGCAGCTTTTGTCTCATGACTTCACTTGGGAAATAAACATATGTATCCAAAGACCATGCTTCCTCAAAGTATACATGCCCAAAGCTGTGAATGGCCCATGAAATTCCATCAGTGTTGATAGGAACCTGGCTTTAGTAGGAACAGCTGAAATCCTTAGGTAAGGTAGTGTGTAAGGTGAGAAGCACAGCCATATTGTTTTCTTCAAAACAAAAAGTAATTCTCTAAAGAATAAGTGAAACTGCCATTTTACTTTTAAAATGTATTTATTATTACTAAGTAGTTGTACAGTGGGGTTCAGTTCCATAGAAAGTTTTGGGAGATCGGGCTGGGATGTAGCTCAGTGGCAAAGCGCTTGCCTAGCAAGTACAACGTCCTGGGTTTGATTCCCAGTACCAAAAAAAGAAAAGACAAAATTACAGTTAAAAAAAAAAGTTTTGGGAGAGGAGTTCATTTGAAGTGTAGTATTTGCCTTTTTAAAGAAAAAAGAAACTGCTGGTCACTGGTGGTTCACTCCTGTAATACTAGCTACTCCGGAGGCTAAAATTGAAGGATCCCAGTTTGTAGCCAACCAGAGCTATAAAAAGTGGGAGACATTTTAGGTCCAGTTAGCCATCAAAAGAGCCAGAAGTGGAGGTGTGGCTGAAGTCGTGGGAGCTTAACTTCTTAGGCTGAATTTTGTTTTCTATTTGAAGAACAACTAAGTTCCTTTTAGAAAGGGACCAAAACAGTGCATGAAAAATAGAACTTTAAAAACATAAATTCACTGATATTATAAAAATAGATATCTTGTATTTTCAACAAATTTATCTATGTATCTTTAAAAGCATTGCATTTTCTCTGTGACTTGATGAACCTACCTCTTCTTGCTAGGCAGTCTGGTAGTGTGAAGATGAGTATGCATTCGTTGTGCACATATGTGGCTGTCCCAAGGACTAGCCCTGCCATCATCTAGGTACCTGTCAGCCATTAAAGAGGAGTGTGGTTACTGAAGGAAGAATTTGAGAGGCACAGAAAAAGCTGAATGAAAGCTTTGTATGTAGCACCCATCCCTCCAAAGATGTGTACTGATTAACCTTTTTGTTTTTCCTTTCCAAGATTCTCCATAGTACAGGGCTGGAGTTTCAGCACCAAGTCGAAGAAGCCAAGGATTTAGATCAGTTGATTAAAATTCACTACAGATACTTATCAACTATCCACGACCGATGTCTCCTGAGAGAAAAGGTACGGCAAATGTTGTAAGTGTGGTAAGGAATAATAGGCAAGTGGGAACGTCTGTTTTGGAATTTTGCATTACTAAGCTCTTATCCTCCTGAATCTTCTGTTAGGAAAGACCTGGTCAAAGGTGTAACCTCATTGGCCCTACTCTGGACCTACTACTAGGAATTATTATATCTGAGAATGTGAGAGCTGTGTTGCTGACACACTGAACTACACTTGCACTCAGGTGCAACTGGGATCAGTAGCTGTGAAGTAAATAGTACAACTGGTCGGTGGACACATGCACCTGCACCGTGTGGAATCTCCTAACTCATGGCTGCAGGTGTGCCATGAAAGTGTACCCGCTCTATGTGAGAAACTGCACAGCATGCCAGCCTTGGGAACTGCTCTTCCCAGGTTACTGGGGCAACCAAATGGCCCTTGTAGGTTGGGAACATGTCTTTTTGGTCTGCTACATGCTGGGCACAGCAAATGTGGGGCTGCATCCCAAGTTCACTTGGTTTGAGGTCCAGTGCCCTTGCTTATGGATAGAATGAGATCACTATAATAATGAACTTGTTCAGCGACTAAATCAGGTATGTTTGATGTCAGCATCCAAACATAGTGGTAGAATCTTTTCTGTCCCTGACTTTGGTCTCTAGGTCAGCTTTGTGAAAGAAGCAATCATGAAGGTGTTGAACTTGGCTCTCATGTTTGCAGAAGGCTGGCAGGCAGGCCTGGGAGCTTGGCAGTAAGTATGTTTTATGATCATCTGCACCATGGCTGTTTCAGCTTCCCTCCTGACAGGCTTCACTCATGGAGTCTCCTCTTTATCCTGGCAGCATATCACATGCCACTGTAAGTAAGAATTTAAAAAGTGAATTTGAGAGAGGGGAGTCTATCTAGTTCAGTAGTATCAGGCTTGAGACCTTACCTGAAGAATAACTAAAGCAGTGCCTCCCATGGTCACTTGTGCTTGTAATACTTGGCACTTGGGGAGGATCAGTTTGAGGTGAGCCAAAGCAAAAATTCAAGAGACCCCCATCTCAACCAATAAAAACCTGGATTTGTTGGCACTTGGCCTATGTCCTGGCTATGTGGGAAGCATAAAAAGAAAGATCTTAGTCTAGGCTAACCCAGTATATAGTCAAGACTCTGAACCAAACCAACCAAACAAAAAACAGCAAAAGGCTGGAGGCACAGTGAATTCAAGCAATGAAACACCTGCCTGGCAAGTTCACAGCACTGAGTTCAAATCCTAGTACTGCCAAAAAGGAAAATTACGTGTTTAGTGATTTCAAATTTTAGAGTTTTGTATTCTTAGGATGTTCTTCCCAGATTTTTTTTTTTTTTTTTTTTGCCATTCCTGGGGCTTGAACTCAGGGCCTGAGCACTGACCCTCAGCTTCTTTTGCTCAAGGCTAGCACTCTTCCACTTGAGCCACAACTCTGGCTTTTTCTGTTTATGTGGTACGAAGGAATCGAACCCAGGGCTTCATGTATGCTAGGCAAGCACTCTCCCACTGAGCCACATTCCCAGCTCTCCATGAGAGTCTTATCTCCAAATTAACCAACAAAAAGCTGGAAATGGAGCTGTGACTTTAAGAGGTAGAATGCAAAAAATGCTCAAAGACAGCACCTAGTGAGTGACACACACACACACACACACACACACACACATGTAAGGCAGGGGGCTGGGAATGTGACACACACACACACACACACACACACGGAAGGCAGGGGGCTGGGAATGTGGCTTACTGGTAGAGTGCTTGCCTAGCATGCATGAAGCTCTGGGTTTGATTCCTCAGTATCACATACACAGAAAAAGCCAGAAGTGGTGCTGTGGCTCAAGTGGTAGAGTGCTAGCCTTGAGCAAAAGAAGCTCAGGGATAGTGCCCAGGCCCTGAGTTCAAGCCCCAGGACTGGAAAGAAAAAAAAAGTAAGGCAGGCTACTACCTCAGAGGGTAAGGCAGGAGGATCACCAGTTCAAAGTCCACTTTGGGTAATGTAGCAACACCCTGACTCAAAAGAAACAAAAAGAATTGCAAATTAAAATAAAACAGGACATTTCACAATTTATTATATAATGTTTAGACCTAAATAATTAGACTAAAAATATATTCTAAATTACTAAAGTGCTTTCTAGCCCACCTGTGACTTTTTATATGCTTAATGTAAATTGAAACTTATTTTCTCTCCTAGAATGGAATCTATAGAGAAAATGGAGTCTGATTTTAAAAACTGCCACATGTTTCTTGTAACCATTTTAAACAAAGCAGTCTGTAGAGGATCTTTTCCCCACTGTAAGTACACTATCTTACAAGGTGATTGTGTTTCAGTTTTCTTGTAGCTAAGTCTATATGTCATTGTTTGATATTGACCCCCTGGAAGAACTGGAAATTCTCACCATTGATAAACTGAAAAATCCTTTAGCACTGTGCAGTACTTTGAATTGCTTCTCATGATTGGCACCAGTGGCTCATCCCTATAAACCTAGCTACTTAGGAGGCTGAGATCTGAGAATCATGGTTCGGATCTAGCCCTGGCAGGAAAGGCTGTGAGATTCTTTATCTCCAATTAACCACCCAAAAAAAAGGAAGTGATACTGTAGCTCAAAGTGGTTGAGTACTAGCTTTGAGCAAGAAAGCTCAGGGACAGTGCCCAGGCCATGAGTTCAAGCCCACGACCGATCCTCCCCCCAAAAAAGAGTCTCATGAACTTTCTTGGGCTAGCTTTGAACCCCAATCCTCAGGTCTCAGCCTGAGCAGCTGGGATTGCAATGAGCCACCAGCACCAGGCCATATAATCTCTTCAGTTTTTGTGTGTGCACAGGTTAGTACTGGGACTTAAACCCACGGCTTCATTGCTCTCACTTGGTTTTTTTCATTCGAGGCTGGTTCTCTACCACTTAAGCCACAGGTCCACTTCTGATTTTTTGCTGGCTAATTGGAGATAGGAGATAAGAGTCTCTTGGCTTTGTCTGCCTGTGATAGCTTCCAGCCATAATCATCAAGTCTCGGCCTGCAGAGTAGCTAGGATTACAGAGATGAGCCATCAACATCTAGCCTCTGTGTAGGCTTTGTAAACTATTCCTTTCTAAGAGATAAGGGTTGAGTTTTGTGTTTTCTTTTAAAGCAATTTTTAAACTCCCAAGGCTGCCTGTCACAAGGAAATGTGGACATGACACTTCAGAACACACTGTGAAGTACATGGGGGAGGTCTGTTGATGAGTCAAGGAGAGAAAGATCTGTTAGTCTGGAAACAGAACCAAGTAGCATCCCTCTTTTTAAAAAGTAAAGTATTTCTTCCTACTTGTGCATATTCTAATTGTAGTACACTTACTTTGAGTAGTAGACATTTAAAATGACTGCATAGTGCTTTTGTAAGAGGAGACTTTGGTATATTGGTCCGTGTTTGCTGTATATGGGCTAGGCATGTTTGTGTTGGGCCAGAACAAGGTTTTCTACCACCTGGGGCACAAGTTTTATTTATTAGGTAAAATGCCTTGCTTTTAAATTTTCAAAATTAAAAATATCTGCCGGGCGCTGGTGGCTCACGCCTGTAATCCTAGCTACTCAGGAGGCTGAGATCTGAGGATCGCGGTTCAAAGCCAGCCCGGGCAGGAAAGACTGTCTCCTATCTCCAATAAACCACCAGAAAGCCGGAAGTGGCGCTGTGGCTCAAGTGGTAGAGCACTAGCCTTGAGCTGAAGAGCTGAGGGACAGCGCCCAGGCTCAGAGTTCAGGCCCCACGACCAGACCCCCTCCCCTCCACCCCAAAAAAAAGATTCTTGTCTTCAATTAACCACCAAAAACCTGAAAGTAGAGCTGTGGTTCTAAGTGGTAAAATGCTAGCTGTTAGCAAAAAAGCTCAGAGACAAACGGACCCTGAGTTCAAGCCTCAGGATTGGCGCACACACACACACACACACACACACACAAATTGGTGCCATGGAGCTGGGCACCAGTGGCTCACGCCTGTAAACCTAGCTACTCAGGAGGCTGAGATCTGAGGATCATGGTTCAAAGCCAGCCCAGGCAGGAAAGTCTGTGAAACTTATCTCCAATAAAAGCCACCAGAAAACTAGAAGTGGCGCTGTAGCCCAAGTGGTAGAGTGCTCTCCTTGAGCTGAAGAGCTAAGGGACAGTGCTCAGGCCCAGAGTTCAAGCCCCACGACCGACAAAAAAAAGGTGCTTAAGAAAGGGAGGAAAATTAATTATTCCACCTTTCTCATTTCCTTGGAAGAACAGTGCAAACAGTGAAATGAGAAACTTAACCAAGGTGTCACTAAATAGCACTTATAGACGTGAACTTATACAAGCCTGAGTGCATCTGCTCACACCTGTAATCCTAGTACTCAGAGCAAGTTAGAGAGCTGTTCCCAGCCCTTGAGTTCAAGACCTATGAATTCACACAAAGTATACGCAGGGCACAGTGCTAATGGAATGAACCAGCAGTGGCTGTGGGAGGCAGATTTAATATAACGAGGCTGGGGAAAGCCATACATCCCACGGATATCAGATTGGTTTGTACCATTTGTGGCTGGCAGGAGGGTGAAATTTGTTAGACAATCAGGACATGTTGATGGGTTCACTTGCTAGGAGGCTGTGTCTGTGTGGGCAAAGGAATGCACAGAATGACTTTAAGGTCCCTGTGAGGCTCAAAGAAACAAGTAGCACATGAAATTTTAGTCTTTGCAATCCAAATGTGGAGAAGGCCTCTGAAGTCATTTTTTTTTAACCTTGGTCTTTTTTTAAAAAAATTCTATTGTAAAGATGCTATACAGAGAGATTCTGAAATCATTATTTTGCATGTGAATACCAATTCCAGAATGATTTGTTGATGTTTCTTGGCTCCATTGAATTTTTCAAGTCAATGAGTTCTAGATGTATTTATTTCTGCTAAATAATACTTCATTGTGTATATAGGCCACAATTTCTTTATCCAGTTGGCAGCTGATGAATATCTAGGCTGAGTCCATTCTTGGCTATTGTAAATTGTGTTGTAATAAACATGGTTGTGCTTGTATCGCTATTGTTTATCACTTTAACATTCCTTCATATATGCCCAGGAGTAGTATATTAGGAATCTGTGGTAGTTGTACTTTTAGCTTTTTGAGGAAAGTCCATACTGATTTCCATAGTGACAGCACTAAAATACATTCCTCAAAGTGTGTTGCTAGATTGGTGTCCTGCATCTAGCTCTGTTTTTCACTGGTTATTTTTACAGTAGGCTCTCACTTCCCAACTGGGCATGCACCTGAGGTTTTTGTTTTGTTTTAGTTTTTGGTCAGTTGTGGGGCTTGAACTCAGGGCCTTGGACACTGTCCCTGAACTCTTTGACTCAGGGCTAGTGCTCTACCACTTGAGGCATGGCTCCACTTTCGGTTTTTTGGCGGTTAATAAGATGAGAGTCTCATGGACTTTTCCTGCCTGGACAGCCTTTGAACCATGATGCTCAGATCTCAGTTACCTAATTAGTTAGGATTGCAGGTGTGAGTCACTAGCGACCAACTTACACCTGAGCTTTGATCATTAACTTCAGGCTTCTGGTTGCTGAAATTACAGGTACGTGCTACTACATCCATCTTCCCTCTGTAAATTAGTCTCTTGGACTTTCCTGCTTAGCTGGCCTAGAACCATGGTCTTTCCAACCAGTTTTCCATGTAGCTTGGAATGACAGATGTATACTGTTGTTTCCAGTTTTGGATTGAGAAACACTCTTGCAAACTTTTCTGCCAAGATTGGCAGAAATCCACAAATCTCAGCCTCCCAAGAAGCTAGAATTAGGCATGAACCACTGTCACCCAGCTTGTTTTGAAAATTACTTGTTTGCCCATTTATTAATAGGATTCCTTATTGTTTTTATTTCATTTACTTTGTTCTTTGTGTATTCTAGATGTAAATCTCTTGTTAGTTTGTATCTCAATTCCTCCTGTTTCATAAATTCTTAGGTTTAGTCACTATCGTATTCCAGAGTTCTTGAAAGTTGTATTTATGGTGTCTATAGTTTACTTTGTTGCTATCTGAATGTAGAATATCCTTGCCCTTATCCCTTAATGGGACCCACATATATGCTTCTTTTTCTTTGTTGTTCCAGTACTGGGCCATGGACTCAAAAGATTAACTTTCTTTCACTCAGCTTTTTCATTCAGTGCTGGCCCTTTCACTCAAGGCACACATCCACTTCCAGCTTTTGCTGGTTAATTGGCTATAAGTGTCTTGGGGATTTGTCTGCCTCGGGTCGCTTTGAACCAAGATTGCTCAGACCTCACCCTCCTTAATTAGCCAGGATTACAGGCATCTGAGTGGAATCACACAATATTGTGAGAGGTAATAGATGGAACTTCTGTCTCATTGAGCACAATGGTCCTCAAGGTTCATCCATGTGGTAAGTATGTATCAGAAATTTTATTCTTTTCCAGAGTGTGAGCAATTGTATGTTTATGACATGTGTGTGTGTGTGTGTGTGTGTGTGTGTGTGTGTGTGTGTGTGTATTAGAGTTTGAATTCAGGGCCCTGCAATCTTGCTTAGCTTTTCCACTCAATGCTGGCACTCTACCACCTGAGCCATATTTCCACTTCTGAGCTTTGGCTGGTTAACTGGATATGAGAGACTCAGAGATTTACCTGCCCAAACTGGTTTTAAACTGTGATCCTCAGATCTCAACCTCCTGTGTACCTGGCACTTCTTTTTTTCTTCTTTTTGGTCAGTCATGGGGCTTGAACTCTGGGGCCTGGGCCCTATCCCTGAGCTCTTTTGCTCAAGGCTAGTGCTTTACCTCTTTGAGCCACAGCACCACTTCTGGTTTTCTGGTGGTTCATTGGAGATAAGAATCTCATATACTTTCCTGCCTTGGCTGGCTTTGAACTACAATACTCAATCTCAACCTCCTGAGTAGCTAGGTTTACAGGCATGAGCCACCAGTGCCTGGTACTGCACATTTTCTTTATCCATTCAGCTGTCAGTAAATATTTGAGTAGCTTCTACATTTTAGCTGTCATAAATAATGCTGCCACCCATCTAGCTTTATAATTATCTCAAGATCCTGTTTTTAGTTCTTTTATATATTTACCCACAAGTAGAATAAGGTCATAAGGTTTTTCTTTTTTTTTCTTTTTTTTGGAAGCATACTGTTTTTTCCTTAGAAATGGAACTATTTTCCCACCAGCAGTGCACAATTTCCCAATTTGACCCTATCCTCAACCATGTTTTCTGTTTGATTATAGTAATCACTTTAATGGATATAAGGTATAACTCACTCTGGCACATTATTGTTTTTATTCACTAATATATATATATATTTTTTGGGGGGGTCCGGTCATGGGGGCCTGGGCGCTGTCCCTCAGCTCTTCAGCTCAAGGCTAGCACTCTACCACTTGAGCCACAGCACCACT